ATTTGAATGAAATCAGCACCGTTGGGAAGATAAAAACGAGAGCTGTGACTTTTGTTTAACTCACCTGTTGAGATAATTTACAGATTATTCCCAGAAATTCGCCGATTCAATCTGCCTAATTAGAGCGTACTCCAAATTGATCTACCAGTTACAAATTGACTTGTACACGTACGTAACTGCTGCCTCTACGTCCTTAAGACAGCTGCCACAACAGAAACCTTAATTTCGCAAAGAACTAAATAGATCCCCATAAGTCTAACCTTTTCTTTCCTCCTCTTTCTTGCCCCAATTCCCTTTCTGCTATTTCCCTTTGCCTTCACGACAGTGGCCTCAAAGGATCTATGCGCCAGCAGTAGCTAGCCTTGCTACTTCCCAGCAGCTTCACGTAGGAGCACCAAGATTAGATGAAAGCAACTCACGGAAAACAATAACTAGAGTAGTAACTGAGGTACAGAAGCGAGGATGCATGCAAGATGCGTGCTATTTCCAGCGAGGGAAGACGACCTGGCAAGGGGACCTCCACAAACGTCGGCAGCTTGAACGAGACAGAGAGACAGGACCGGTGCGAACAAAGGAAGAGCTCAGGCGAGAGGCGGCGGCGGGAACAGGAGGATGCGGCTCTGAACAAAGCAGCTATTACACAAAGCCTGTCTCATTAGTCTGTTCGGTCAACTTATTAATTTTGTTTTTAAAAAAATTCGGGATATTACACAAAGCCTTTATCAACGGACTTTGTTGTAGCATCGTTCTCATCATGGTTGAAGTATATACAGTAGTTATGTGAGAAGCTATCAAGCAGCGAATGAACAAATGCTGCTAGACCGTGACTAATTGAAGTCCCAGTATGTATAAAATGCATGCACACGCATAGAATATACAAAACTGGAATGCTTATTACTATCTTGGCCACTGCCACACTCCCTTTGTTCTGGATTACAATTCAGTTTATTTTTGTCTAAAATCAAGCTTGCCTAACTTTGAAAAAGTTTTAAATAATTCTTGACAACAAAATTGCACTATCAAGAGCACAGCGTTCAATGGCATATCGACGAACCTGGTGGTGTACATGGAGACCGTCCTCCATGGCAGCAACCTGGCCAGTGCCTCGTCACCACGTGGTACGGCACCAGCTACCTCACGCCCATCTTCGGCGCCATCATCGCTGCCACCTTCTTGGGCAACTAAAACACCATCTTCATCTCCCTCGGCGTCTACCTCCTTGTACGCATTACTCATCCATCATCATGGTTTAGACATGGCCATTCACATTGATCAGAGTATCACACACAGCACAATGGATGCTAAGAGACAGGTCTGCCTCCCGCGCCTGCCATGTGCAGGGAATGATGTTTGTCACCTTCTCTGCGTTCCTGCCCACGGCGGCGGTGCTCGGCGGCTCTTCGGTGTTCATTGCGCGGAGCGTCACCTTCATCGGGCTGTACCTCCTACCTCGTGGCCATCAGAAGTGGCGCGGAGCAGTTCGACCATGACAACTCGGCGGACCGGGAGAGCAAGGCGTCTTTCTTCAGCTGGCTCTACCTCTGCGTCGACTTCGGCCCCATCGTCTCGGGCCTTCTCATCACGTGGATCCAGGACAACGTTAGCTGGGGCCTCGGCTTCGACATCGCCACCGCCTGCATCTCGCTCTCCTTCGCCGCCTTCATGCTCGCCACGCTCGTGTACAGGCGCTGCATGCCCACACACTACGCCACCTAGGATTTTTAGGGGCGGCTCAAGACCATTTGTAGCAATGGTTTGGCCAGCCGCCCCTACCAAACCATTGCTACAAATGGCCGATTTCAAATTTGAGAAATTGAAACGTAGTTTTTTTTGACAAAATGAATTCAAATGAAAAAGTTGTCAACTATAAAGTTCTATAACTTTTCGAGATCTACAACTTTTATTTTCGTCATTTGTTCATCGGACATAGTGTTGTTAACATTGTTCACAAATCTTACATATCCCTCTTATAGTTTATGAAACTATAGGAGAGAGATATAAGATTTGTGAACAATGTTAATACAACTTTGTCGCATGAACAAATGATCAAAATAAAAGTGGTAGATCTTGATCAATTCTACAACTTTTATGTTCATGATTTTTTCAGCTGAAATCATTTAATATTTTAAAATGACGTTTGAAGTTGTCATTTTTAAAATTCAAATTTCAAATTGATAAAACACAGTCACATGAAAAGATGACCAAAATAATAGATGTAAGAACACAATAAATTGATAGACCATGATTTTAGAAAATTTTAGAAAAAAAATAATCAAATTTGAAGTTAGTACGAGGGAGAAAGACTAGTTACAAGTTTTAGCCTGGGATTAAAAAGAGAAATCAGAGTTTTTCAACAATTGAAAAATTAAATTTCTAAAAGTATTTTCAAACAGTAAATGATTTCAAATGAAAAAGTTGTAAACAGCAAAGTTCAATAACTTTTCGAGATCTATAGCTTTTATTTTGGTCATTTCTCCATCCGAGGCCATTTGAAAAAATTCAAATTTTAGTACTTAATTTTTAATATTCTGCGTCTTTTTGTAGGGCCGCCCCTACAAGGAGTGGCTGGATGTAGAGCCACCGCTACAAATATGGTCATTTGTAGAGGCGGCTGATAACACCAGCCTCCCCTACAAATCCATTTGCAGGGGTGGCTCATTTGGGAACCATTTGCCCCTAAAAAAAAGGAGGCGTTGCTACAAATCCTTTTTTTAGTAGTGACCGGGACGCCGCTCAAGCGCCACAACCAGGTCGTCGTCGCCGCATCTAGAAAGTGAGGCGTCACCACAAGTCATCATCGGGCTCTTCGCACATATGCTTCATGGGTAGAGAGCTAGACAGGTCACCAATACACTACTAAGGCAGTCAAAATCATTTTGTAGACCAGTTCTAGCGGCGTCAAATCAAGTGTCTCTAAAAAATCTAGAGGTGGGTCTCCAGTTGCACATAGAAATTAATTTCTAGATGCGGGTCAAAACTTACCAGTACTATACATGGATTTTAAGAGGTAGTAAACAAGCTAATCTGTCTGTAGAAATCATTTCCTTGAATTCACAAATTAGGTAAAAAAGCTAAAATCTTTCTTTAGCCTCGAGAGTGCCCAACAAGTAACCCACAGGTCGTAAATGGTAAGTTACACGGTTTTAGTGTGTGTGCGCACTTTATGGGGATCAAACTCGACAGGCCTCGCACGAGGGTACACTCCCACTACACCTCAAACTAACCTGTGATAAAGTGTAGTAGGCAATCTTTTTATGTAAAAAAATTAAACTAAAAGTTTTAGACATCGTCTAGAAATACATTATTAGTTTAGGGCGACTCCCCCATTAGAGGTCATTTGAAAAGTTAAAAAAAACATAAATTTCAAATTTTGAGAAATTTAAACATAATTTTAGGACAAAAAGTTATCAATTAAAAAGTTATGGATCTCTTCATGCTCTAGAACTTTGATATAAGGTTTTTCTTCATCTAGCTTGATTTGGAAAAGTTATGATGTTTTTATGTTGCACCTAATTTTAGTGGGGAGCACATTGTGGGTCGCCTTTATAAATTTAATTTTTAGAGGGGTGTTTCCAACCTCCTTTGATAATTGAAAGAATCTTTAGAGGTAGCTGAAAACACCAAAAATTAATGATTTCTAGAGGTGTACAGTCTCAAAAACAACTTTTAATGATTTCAAAAGGTGTACCATCTCAAAAACAACCTGAGACATTGTTTTCCGTTTTGATGTACTTTAGCAAATAATTATATTTATAAATACTTATTGAGTTATTAAAGTTATCATGTTTTGTAATCCGTGTTGCTATGCCTGCTAATATTGCAACATGAAAGCACTTCTGCAACATACGTCTGAAACAGGTGAAAGATTTACAAACATACATTTGCAACATGTGTATAGCAACTATAACATCCATATAAACACATTTGCATCATACATCTGAAATAGATAAAATATTTTAAATAGACGCTTGCAATAGATGTCTAAAACATATGCAACATTGTAACATATACAATATCCAGATAAAACACTTGCAACATAGGTGTGAAATAGATGACACATTTTGAATATACACTTGCAACATACATGTATAGCCACTGCAACATATGCAATATCCAGATAAAACACTTACAACATACGTTTGAAACAGCTAAAACATTTGAAATATACACTTGCAAAATACGGTTGCAATGTGTGCTCATCTACTTGTTATCGTCCAATGAAGTCTAGTTGACGCAGCACGGGGGAGTGCAGCATGAGGAGTGGGCAGCGCGTGGCGCGAGGCACGAGCGGGGGCGTGAGGCATGGGCGCGAACGGCGTGAGGCACGGGCGGCGGGCGCGGCACGAGGCGTGTGGCGCACACGGCGCGAGGCGGGTCTGAAGCGACCGTGTGAGGAGCGAGGTGCAGGGGTGCACGGTAGAGTCGGTGAGGTGCAGGGGCACGCGGCGCAAGGCGCGGGATCACACGCGGCGCAAGGCGGGTCCCTATGACCGTGCGAGGCGCGAGGTTTTTTTTCTGACGAAAGTGCGAGACGCAAGGCGTAGGGGCGCGCGCGAAGCATATCCATCCGGTCCAGACGGACGTCCGTTCGTCCTGACAGGAGCATTGCCGTTACAAATTGGTAGTGGTTTCTGATGTAACAGAGTATAAAACGTAGCACGTTACCTACCGTCCCCGTCCCGTGTCCAATCCTTGAGCAACGAGGTGTCCGCCTCGCTGCTCCAGCCTAGCGACCGATTCCGAAAAGGAATTGCAGAGTCCGTGGATTCTAACAGGATCAGAGGATCGACTCGGAGTATGCAAATCCTTCCCTTGTAGCAGTAGTATATAATCTGACGATGCACGCCGCGGGATTTACAACCGCAAGAGAGGAAGCTAGTTTTCAGCAGCCACATAGTTAGATTGAGTACACGTTCTCCCGTGCCAAAAGCAAGAAGCATCAGCAAAATTCGGCATCTCGCGGCAGGAGAGGCAGCCAGCTAGGAGGCAGGGCAAGGTGGATGGCGGCTGCTAACGCGATGGCCGGTGCGACTACAGACAACGGAGGCGCCGTGACGATTGTAAAGATGGTGGAGATGCCGGTGGAGTTCCTCCGGCGGGTGCTGTCGCAGGACAAGGACTACCGCGTGCCTACGCTGGAGGACTACACGAAGGAGGAGCTCGCCGAGGCCAAGGACACCATCTGCAGCGTCATCTGCTCCCTGCAGATCGCGTACGACGAGTTCGACGAGTTCCGGGCCTGGGTCCGCGACGTGATCGACAATAATGGCTGCGTCATGATCCACGAGGACATGCTCTTCTCGGATCCCAAAGAATGGCAGGAAAGCGTCGACGAGGAGTGGGCAGAGGCGCGGCAGGAGCTGAAGATGGACCTGACGAAACCACTCGGCCCGCACCTGTACATGTTGTCTACGTATCTTTCACTCTTGTATCACTATGCAGCGCCCATCCTGACGTTGAGGGCCTTAGCTATATATGGGTGACAAAAGAATTAATATTAAGGCCAACAGCCAATGTCGTAGAACTGTAGCAGGCTACCGACATGTTTTTATCATGCTTTCATCTAATTCTTTTTCCGTCTTGGGTACAGATGACTTTTGGTAATTAATTTTATATAAGACTTAATTTACACTAGGGCAAATACAGTGGAAAGAAATTTTCATTAAAGGAATGGGAAAATTGGTTGTATAGCATCGAAAGATCATGATCTCCGTAAAATACCATCGAAAGTTTACGCCCTCGTAAAATATCACCGAAAGATTGAACCGTGAACTGAAAATATTTAGTTTAGTTTGTTTTTCGTTTAGTTTGTTTTTTCACTTTCCATTTAGTTTTTTTTGCATATTTTCGTTTAGAATTAATATTTAGTTTTCATTTTTTTCACTAAATGTTTTCATATTTGCCAAAAAAATATTAGTAAGATAAGCTAGAGATGACGTGGTATCTAGTTGGTTTTGACATTTAGTGACTACTTTGTAGGGTTATACTTTAAGACAGTCTCCACGACATTTCTGCCACCTATAAATCTTCCTGCAGCCTATCCGTGTTGGATCTGTTCACCGTGGGCAATAATAAAAAGGTAAAATTTCAGATATTTTTTTTTGTCCAGCCATTCAATTCGGTCCAGCAGTCCAGTTCACTCTCTCGCGTCCGGCCCACTCGAGGCCCACTCACGTGACTCACATCGCTCCGATAAAAAAAAAGGGAAAAACATCAACGCCGCATCGTTTCAGCCACTCCTCCCGTCCGCCAGAGCGCCGCTGATCCACCTGCCGCCACTGCCCTGGAGCTGCTCTCCTCCTACGCGTCGCCACCGCCACGCATGACTCACGGCAGCCGGAGCTCACCGTCCGCAGCCCAGCCTCCCAACGCCGTCGTGGCGCCGGCGCAACTCTGGTCCGAACGCAGGTCTGTCTCGGCCACCCAGCGGCCGTTTTCCGGCGCTCGACGTCCCCCTCCCAGCCATCTCACTAGATATAGATATATGTCCGTGTGTTGCACCGGGACCTTATACATACTATCATTATTATTTATCTTCATAGATCAGGCTTGTTAAGTCTTTAAATGGTGTGCAACAATTTTGATCTGATTTTGAATATAGGTTCCAGATCAGCTTCACAGTGATCTGCAATTTTTTTAGGCGCAACTTGATGATGCGTCTTTTAGTTTGTACAGCAGCATCTACATACCACTGTTGTTTTCATATGTATCAGGTCTGAACTCTAGATTATCAATTAAACCAAGCTTCTTACATCCCCTTTCAGTCTCCAAATCAATGTATAGTAACACGATCTGCTTTCACGTTCATGAGCTAACGTCCACAATATTAGACGTTAACGAGCTAACGTCACAATATTATATAGTAATTGAAGGTAATGTACACAATTTGTGTTTTGTACAAAGTCAATTTATTTAAGCTTGAATAATAATATAAAAAGATACTCACATCTATAACACAAAAAGTATATAATATAAAAATATAGGAAAAAGTCCATATTATTCCCTCCAAGTTCGGCTAATGTCTAAATAACCCCCAAACTAACATTTGATTTAATTTACTCCCTCCGACTATTTAAGTTGGTCCAACTAACACCTTAAAGAGATTTTTTTTGTTTCTCTATGTACAAATTATATTTTAGTTTCAAATTTTGTGAGGTGATAGAGGACATTGTATTTTGTGTTAGAAAAATGCACTATGAACTTTTCATCATTATGTTTTATACGATATTGTATCTCTAGTGTTAATTTATTATTAAATTTCCTAAGCTATCAAAATAGTGGCAAAAAGTTAAGATATATTTTTCTAACATAACTTATGATGTTCTCTCAAACTTGAGGGGAGTAATTTGGACTTTTTCCAAAAATATATTTAATGTTAAATCTAATTTGATGTCACAAATATTAATATTTTTATATAAAAATTTGGTCACGTTTAAAAGAGTTTAACGTAGAACAACTCTAACGATTGATTTATCCAGAGTCAAAGAAGCAGGGACGGATCTAGCGGTGGGACAGGCAGGGCTGTCTGGAGGCTGAAGAAGCTCCCTAGACATTTATCCTCGATCCGTCCCTGTAAAGAAGGTAGATTACAGTTTGAGAACAGTGCTCCACCGATTCCCTAGCCGTCCGTTGTCACGTTCAGAAATAGAATCAGGGCGTACGGGTGCTGTTTGCATGCATGACGTGTCTAATTTAAACAGGTACATATAATGGAAGAGTGCTAATGATTAACGGCTGACCAGTTGCCATCGACTACTTCAGCAATATTTTTCAGCGAACAGACAGTGTTTTTCTTTCACAACAAAACAGCATCAGTCAAATTTCAGTGAAACGAACAGGGCTAGGCGTCGCCATGCATGTCCGCCGTAGGGGCGGCGCGCGCTGTTCGCCCGTAGCTCGCGGGCGTCGGCGTCTTCACGCACGAGAACCTTCTATCCGTGCCGCTGCCACTGCTAGCCGCTAGCAGGCCACTGCACGTTGATCCACAAGCACCGGGAAATAAAAAGAGACGTGCGTGGAATTCTCCACGTCTTCCTCTTCGTTTTGGTCTCGTTATTACCAAGAGTGTCGGGCACGCACACCAACACACGGTTGGGCGAAAGACTTAACTATTTTTTAGTTGGTACTAGATATAATAGCCCACGGATCTTGTTAAAAAAAATTAATCTTTGTTCACAGTGAAGTCTCTGTATCCCGAACCCGATCTTGCCAAGTTTTAATCTTGGTCTCGCCAGATTGGAATTGACAACATTGAATCTCTCAGAAAGGCGATGCCGACGACAAGCAACAGTCCATGGGGAAAAAAAATTCAAAGAATAACAAGTAATTTTGTTCTGTGCCTTTCATCTTTTATTAAAACCTTCTCAATTTTTTACCACAGCCTCCACGTATGATAACATCACATCATGACAAATCTCATGATTTTCAGACTTCGTTTGCTTTTTTTAGAATTTAAAAACCATTCGGCCACACGTTCGTGGTCGTGTTTCCTGAACAAGATGTTCAAAATTTCTTTTCATTTACCGGGTAAGGCCTCACACCGGACTCAATAACATGAATATCATTTTTCTCCTCATTTTATTCTATTATTTGAATCACTTACAGTTCAAATTTGACTTATACAAAAAAATTCCTAGAAATACAATAAATTAATTAAATATAGCAAACAGATCCACAAATATACTAAATTTTAACATGGAATACCACATGTTGTATGTTGAGAGTCGAAAAAGTTTCAAGGTCAGAAGAGAAAAAAAATAAAATTATTTGCTGAGTGCCAAATAGTTACACTCGGCAAACATATTTCTTTGCCGAGTGCCTAGTTTTGCCGAGTGTTTTTTTTAGTTTGCCTAGTGTCTAACTTTGCCGAGTGTTTTTTGCATCGTTTGCCAAGTGCATTTATTTTGCCGAGTGTTTTTCGCAGCACTCGGCAAAAGGCTTGTTTGCCAAGTGCCCGAGGAAATGCACTCGGCAAACATAAAAACACTTGTCAAATAGCCGGTTTCCGGTAGTGATCTTAGCTGGGTTTTCGAATTGTGATCTGTTAGAACCAAATTATATATATGCAGACTGCATTGTATTTGTTGGAGTAAATATTCTTGTTATTACTAAACTCTAAGGCTTGCAAGTTGAAAATTTTAGTATGCGACTCTATGTGGATATGACTCTTGGTGCATATGACTGAAAATTTTAGTATGCAGATCTGCACGAATACTAATGAGCCCAATTAACCAGCAACCATGGATGGATTTTATCATGTTTATCAAACAAAAAGAAGAATAAACATACGGATGAATTTATTTACCAGACAACTTGCATACCAGATCAGTAGCATTGCACTTCTAGCGCTTTGTAATTGATACATATATATGTAATTTGCTTGTCATCTTGCTCGATTTTGTCCAGTGTTTTATTTGCTAAAAATCCATGGTTTATGTTCCTTATGTATGCAAGAAATATATTATGTTGATCTCTTAATGTCTGATTGGAAGGTAGTTTTTTTTGTGCTCTGTGCATATTTGACTCGAACCATATTTACATCTTTGTTATTTCTACATAGTCAACACATATTTGATGTCAGTGATATTTCAGGATTTCAATCCTAGGCCGGTGTGTTCAGTCAGCCTCACCCAATCACATAGAAGCTGCTTTAAGGGGATGTTCACATGAGGGCTCCGAATTTGCAGCTACTTATTGTGGTTCTTCCGGATGTTACTGACTTACTGGCCACTATGTCACAGAATTCTTATGTGGAATGTTCTTAACTGTGCTAGCAGTACCAAATCTATTGTCAAATAAATATGACATAAACTGCATTTTTGAAGAACTGATGCACATGAGAACTTTGTTTGATCCTTACAATTTCCAAAGGAGGGGTGTACTTTAGATCAGATATTGTCATTTCTGTTGAGTTTTCTTTTGACGTCTTGAATCCAAATTCCTGTATTTCTGCCCACCATATGAATGTGCTTATTACGTTCTGCCCTGCTGTATTCTTAAGATGAGGCATTTAACAAACAGTGACTTCCTGTTTGTGCTTGATTTTTGCCAACCGTACCAGTGTGCTTATATTTTCAAACATTTGACACTAAAGTATCCTTTGCTAGTTTCTGATTATGACCAAGGCTCCTCAACTTGTGCATTTTCTGATTGTGCTTTCTTCTTTTGTTTGCAAACAATATAATAGATTTGCATATCTTTCTAAGTACTTCTTATTTATCTGTGCTTATTGGTTTACTCTTTTTAATTGCAGGTGATTGAACAAAGATGGTGGACGGTGGGACGAGGAAGCTAACGTCCTTGTACCAAAGGACAAGCACCGCTGCACCGGGGGAGAGTAGGAGGAGGAGCCGTCGCCTGCCGCCCCGTCGCGTGAGGAGGAGGAGGAGGAGCAGGTGGTCCAGGAGGACACTGAGGAGGCGCAGGAGGACGCGCAGGAGGAGGCGACAGCAGGGGGTTCCGGTTCCTCTAGTTCGTCGAGCGTCTACTTGCGAGGTCCCGCGAGCCTCCCTCAGCGAATCCTTCACCAAATTAGTGATGATACTTGTGGTTGTTAATGGTACTTCTATTTGCAATTGTGGTTGAAGATGATGGAGCACTTGGATTACTTGTGAACTTATTTGGGATATATTGTGAGACATGTGACGTTTGTGATATATATGTGACGTTTGTGATATATATGTGGTGTTGATGATATATATGTGATGTTGGTGATGTTTGTTATATATATCTTCTGTTTGTTTGGATGGAATATAAAAAACAAATAAAAAATGCTGTTTTCAGTCACTTTGCCGAGTGCAATGACCATGACACTTGGCAAAGTGACTACCTGGGAACATGCTTTGCCGAGTGCAAAGGCCATTGCACTCGGCAAACATCACAGGTTTGCCGAGTGCCACGGGCGAGGCACTTGGCAAAGGTCGCCTGTTTGCCGAGTGTCTTGCCGGCGGCACTCGGCAGAGTGGCCACCTTTGCCGAGTGTCTGAGTCAACGGCGCTCGGCAAAGCGGCGACCTTTACCGAGTGCTTGACCTTGACACTCGGCAAAGCCACCGTCACGACCACTTTTCTTTGCTGAGTGTCGGATTGGCACTCGGCAAAGAGGTCTTTGCCGATAAACTATTTACCAAGCGCCCTTTGCTGAGTGTAACACTCAGCAAAGGCTTTGCCGAGTGTATATCGGCCTTTGCCGAGTGCCTGAGGCACTCGGCAAAGAAGCCGCCTCCGGTAGTGTCTACCGCGTTGAGCAGCCAATTTGACGCAAGTTTGGTGTTCCTCTTTATAATTTGCTCTAACATATTCATGGGATATTAAAGTTCACGTTCCACAACAACACACTCCATCATATTCATTTTCACTAGAATAGTGAGCACATAGGTACACATATTTAATTCCATGGATTCGACTCAAAGATATTTCGGATTTCCCTACACACAACCTAAATCTGGTCCAAAAGAATCTTGGAAACATTCGGATAATAACCATAATCTCTAGGACTGGACATTAATTTTAGGCTAAGGAAATCCAATATGTCTAAAAACATTTAAAAATAATAACTTCTGTTGACACATAATCAGAGCGAGACCAACAAAATCTTATGGATTCATTTACTATTCCGTGTTCTTTTACAAAGGAATGTATTTCATGATTCTATAATAATTTACTTTATGGGTGCTAAAATGGATATGTGCCCATGACTTTCTTAAAACAACATACCATAGATGCACGTACAGTCGCATCTATCTTACGAACACCCACGCACACAGCCAAATGAGAACATTCAAGAGGTTAGGCTGGCACATCTTGATATTGATGATGTAATGTGGTATTGTCTACGTATTAATCAAGCATGTGGCTGAACTTATGATTCGATATTTTTCAATTGATTATGTAGAGAAAAAAAATTGAGGAATAGACTCAGATAAATCTCAATCAATGTATTGATTATTTCTGGGAAGTTGCACATGCCGACACCACAACATTGTTATCAAGTACAACTCATTTGTATTCTAGAAGATGGCACCACCAACGATGGGTTGCTGCCACGACAAGGCAGGGTTCATCAAAGACATCTGGTTGAATGGCAGCAATTGTTGCTGCTGCAGGAAGGCGGCAGCCAATGGGTTAGCCAGTGCCAATGGGTTAACTGGGAGCAGCTGCTGTTGCTGGTGGTAGGCAGCAGCGGTTGCAACAGCCGACTGGGTAAACGGAAGCGGCTGCTGCTGTTGCAGGTATGCTGCGGCGTTCGCCACAGCCAGTTGGTTGAATGGAAACAGCTGTTGCTGTTGCAAGTAGGCGGCAGGGTTCGCCACGGCTAGTTGCCTGAGCGCTGGCAGGAACTGTTGGAACTGTTGTTGTTGCAGGTATTCAACGGCATTCGCCGCAGCTAGTGGGTTTGTAGGATGCAGCTGTTGCAGCTGCAAGTAGGCAGCAGGGTTTGCCATAGCTAGTTGACTGAGCGCTGGCAGGAACTGGTGCTGTTGCAATTGCGCTAGAATTGAATGTAAAAGAAATCGTGAAACTCGAACTTGAATATAAAAACCAAATTGCACATCCAGATCCACCGAAACAGGAATTGAATTTAAAAGAACACTCGGAAGTTGAATCATATAGCACATGAAACAATTGAATCAATTGAAAACTCAAACAAGAGGCATAAGCCCATACATAGGTTCGTCATGCACTTGCCTTAAGTTTGGCGAGAATTCGGCACGCGTGCCACGGCAACGGCACTTCCCAAACCTGAGGAGCAAATTACCTTAGGAACTAATCCACATCGATCACGAAGCTGTTTTTTAAAAGCTCAATTAAACCTCTCAGTCGAACCCTAATATGTCAATTCTCATATTTTTAGAAGATCCAGTAAAATTTGAGTTCCTTGCTGTTTTGACCATAACTCTCAATTCTATTATCCAAATGCAGCAAATAAATACATCTCGGACATCTACAGAAAATTTCCTATAATTTGGTTTAGAAATCCTGGACCAATTCTGACTCTAAATACCTCGAAAATAGATAAAAGATTTATGCACAGAGAATATGTCTAGCTAGAAAGCAGCACTATTTTGGGCATAACTTATCGGATTTGAATGAAATCAGCACCGTTGGGAAGATAAAAATGAGAGCTGTGACTTTTGTTTAACTCACCTGTCGAGATAATTTACAGATTATTCCCAGAAATTCGCCGATTCAATGTGCCTAATTAGAGCGTACTCCAAATTGATCTACCAGTTACAAATTGACTTGTACACGTACGTAACTGCGTGCTGCCTCTACGTCCTTCTTAAGACAGCTGCCACAATAGAAACCTTCATTTCGCAAAGAACTAAATAGATCCCCATAAGTCTAACCTTTTCTTTCCTCCTCTTTCTTGCCCCACTTCTCTTTCTGCTATTCCCCTTTTCCTTCACGACGGTGGCCTCCCAGTATCTATGCGCCAGCAGTAGCTAGCCTTGCTACTTCCCAGCAGCTTTACTAGGAGCACCAAGATTAGATGAAACCAACTCACGGGAAAACAATAACTAGAGTAGTAACTGAGGTACAGAAGCGAGGATGCATGCAAGATGCGTGCTATTTCCAGCGAGGGAAGACGACCTGGCAAGGGGACCTCCTCAAACGTTGGCAGCTTGAACGAGACAGAGAGACAGGAGCGGTGAGAACAAAGGAAGAGCTCAGGCGAGAGGCGGCGGCGGGAACAGGAGGATGCGGCTCTGAACAAAGCAGCGTGAGGAAGAGCCGGTGGCATAATGGGGCCTTTTTCTTCTTCTTATTAACCGGTCAGGAAACCAAACCCTAAATCAGATCCAATGGTCTAAATTTAACGGTTCCTCCTAAATTCATCCAACCTCCAAGCGAAACATGTTAGTACTCAAATGAATTCGTTTGGACTAGATCTGCACAACCACGGTGTCCGATCCCCCATATGACTCCTGGTTCAAATAGTCAAAATTTGCTCGTCTCATTAGTCCGTTCGGTCAACTTATTAATTTTGTTTAAAAAAAATTCGGGATATTACACAAAGCCTTTATCAACGGACTTTGTTGTAGCATCGTACTCATCATGGTTGAAGTATATACAGTAGTTATATGAGAAGCTATCAAGCAGCGAATGAACAAATGCTGCTAGACCGTGACTAATTGAAGTCCCAGTATGTATAAAATGCATGCACACGCATAGAATATACAAAACTGGAATGCTTATTACTATCTTGGCCACTGCCACACACTCCCTTTGTTCTGGATTACAATTCACTTTATTTTTGTGTAAAAGCAAGCTTGTCTGACTTTGAAAAAGTTTTAAATAAATCTTGACAACAAAATTGCACTATCAAGAGCACAGCGTTCAATGGCATATCGACGAATGAACCTGGTGGTGTACATGGAGACCGTCCTCGATGGCAGCAACCTGGCCAGTGCGTCCTCACCAAAACGTGGTACGGCACCAGCTACCTCACGCCCATCTTCGGCGCCATCATGGCCGACACCTTCTTAGGCAACTAAAACACCATCTTCATCTCCCTCGCCGTCTACCTCCTTGTACGCATTACTCATCCATCATCATGGTTTAGACATGGCAATTCACATTGATCAGAGTATCACACACAGCACGATGGATGCTAAGAGACAGGTCTGCGTCCCGCGCGTGCCGTGTGCAGGGAATGATGTTTGTCACCTTCTCTGCGTTCCTGCCCACGGCGGCGGCGCTCGGCGGCTCTTCGGTGTTCGGTGCGCAGAGCGTCACCTTCATCGGGCTGTACCTCCTACCTCGTGGCCATCGGAAGCGGCGGCGTGCAGTCATTCTCTGCTGCCATTCGGCGCGGAGGAGTTCGACCATGACAACTCAGCGGACCGGGAGAGCAAGGCGTCTTTCTTCAGCTGGCTCTACCTCTGCGTTGACTTCGGCCCCATCGTCTCGGGCCTTCTCATCACATGGATCTAGGACAACGTTAGCTGGGGCCTCGGCTTAGGCATTGCCACCGCCTGCATCTCACTCTCCTTCGCCGCCTTCGTGCTTGCCACGCTCGTGTACAGGCGCCACATGCCCACCCACTACGCCACCCAGGATTTTTAGGGGTGGCTCAAGACCATTTTTAGGGGCCGCCCCTACCAAACCATGGCTATAAATGGCCGATTTCAAATTTGAGAAATTCAAACGTAGTTTTCCTTGACAAAATGAATTCAAATGAAAAAGTGGTCAACTATAAAATTTTATAACTTTTCGAGATCTACAACTTTTATTTTGGTCATTTATTCATCGGACATAGTGTTATTAACATTGTTTATAAATCTTACATACTCTCTTGTAGTATATGAAACTATAGGAGGGAGATATAAGATTTGTGAACAATGTTACTACAACTTTGTCGGACGAACAAATGACCGAAATAAAAGTGGTAGATCTTGATCAGTTCTACAACTTTTATGTTCATGATTTTTTCAGCTGAAATCATTTAATATTTTACAATGACGTTTGAAGTTGTCATTTTTGAAATTCAAATTTCAAATTGATAAAACACAATCACATGAAAAGATGACCAAAATAATATATGTAAGAACACAATATATTGATAGAGCATGATTTTAGAAAATTTTAGGAAAAAAATAATCAAGTTTGAAGTTAGTACGAGGGAAAAAGACTAGTTACAAGTTTTAGCCAGAGATTAAAAAGAGAAATCAGAGTTCTTCAATAATTTAAAAATTAAATTTCTAAAAGTATTTTCAAATAGTAAATGATTTCAAATGGAAAAGTTGAAAACAGCAAAGTTCAATAACTTTTCAAGATCTACAACTTTTATTTTGGTCATTTCTCCATCCGAGACCGTTTGAAAAAATTTAAATTTTAATACTTAATTTTTAATATTTTGCGTCTATTTGTAGGACCCCCTACAGATTGGATTTATAGGAGTGGCTGGATGTAGAGCCACCCCTACAAATATAGTCATTTGTAGGGGGTGGATGATAACACCAGCCACCCCTACAAATTCATTTGCAGTGGTGGCTGGTTTGAGAACCATTTACCCCTAAAAAAAAGGAGGCGTTGCTACCAATCCTTTTTGTAGTAGTGACCGGCACGCCGCTCAAGCGCCACAACCAGGTCGTCGTCGCCGCATGCAGAAAGTGAGGCATCAACACAAGTCATCATCGGGCTCTTCGCACATATGCTTCATGGGTAGAGAGCTACACAGGTCACCAATACACTACGAAGGCAGTCAAAATCATTTTGTAGACCAGTTCTAGCGGCGTCAAATCAAGTGTCTCTAAAAAATCTAGAGGTGGGTATCCAGTTGCACATAGAAATTAATTTCTAGATGCGGGTCAAAACTTACCAGTACTATACATGGCTTTTAAGAGGTAGTAAACAAGCTAATCTGTCTGTAGAAATCATTTCCTTGAATTCACAAATTAGGTCAAAAAGCTAAAATCTTTCTTTAGCCTCGAGAGCGCCCAACAAGTAACCCACGGGTCGTAAATGGTAAGTTACACGGTTTTAGTGTGTGTGCACACTTTATGGGGATCAAACTCGACAGGCCTCGCACGAGGGTACACTCCCACTACACCTCAAACTAACCCGTGATAAAGTGTAGTAGGCAATCTTTTTATATAAAAAAAATTAAACTAAAAGTTTTAGATATCGTCTAGAAATACATTATTAGTTTAGGGCCATTCTCCCATTCGAGGTCATTTGAAAAGTTAAAAAAACATAAATTTCAAATTTTAAGAAATTTAAACATAATTTTAGGACAAAAAGTTATAGATCTCTTCAAGCTCTACAACTTTGATATAAGGTTTTTCTTCATCTAGCTTGATTTGGAAAAGTTATGATGTTTTTATGTTGCACCTAATTTTAGTGGGGGAGCACATTGTGGGCAGCCTTTATAAATTTAATTTTTAGAGGGGTGTTTCCAACCTCCTTTGATAATTGAAAGAATCTTTAGAGGTAGCTGAAAACACCAAAAAATAATGATTTCTAGAGGTGTACCATCTCAAAAACAACCTTTAATGATTTCAAAAGGTGTACCATCTCAAAAACAACCTGAGACATTGTTTTTCGTTTTGATGTACTTTAGCAAATAATTATATTTATAAATACTTAATGAGTTATTAAAGTTATCATGTTTTGTAATCCGTTTTGCTACGCCCGCTAATGTTGCAACATGAAAGCACTTCTGCAACATACGCCTGAAACAAGTGAAACATTTACAAACATACATTTGCAACATGTGTATAGCAACTATAACATCCATATAAACACATTTGCAACATACATCTGAAACAGATGAAATATTTTGAATAGACGCTTGCAATAGATGTCTAAAACATATGCAACATTGCAACATAGGTGTGAAATAGGTGACACATTTGGAACATACACTTGCAACATACATGTATAGCCACTGCAACATATGTAATATCCAGATAAAACACTTGCAACATACGTTTGAAACAGCTGAAACATTTGAAACATATACTTACAAAATACGTGTATATCCATTGCAACATATGCAAAACCAGATTTACTTTTGCAACATCCAGATGAAACCTATATAACATATATCTGAAACGCATAAAACATACGGTTGCAATGTGTGCTCATCTACTTGCTGCCGTCCAATAATGGAGTCTAGTTGATGCAGCACAGGGGAGCGCAGCATGAGGAGCGGGCAGCGCGTGGCGTGAGGCACGAGCGGGGGCGTGAGGCGTGGGCGCGGACGGCGTGAGGCACGGGCGGCGTGCGCGGCATAAGGCACGTGGCGCACACGGCGCAAGGCGGGTCTGAAGCGACCGTGTGAGGAGCGAGGTGCAGGGGTGCACGGCACGAGTTGGTGAGGTGCAGGGGCGCGCGGCGCAAGGCGGGTCCCTATGACCGTGCGAGGCGCAAGGTTTCTTTTTACGAAAGTGCGAGGCGCAAGGCGCAGGGGCGCGCGCGAAGCTTGTTCGTCCCGTCCAGACGGACGTCCGTTCGTCCTGACAGGAGCACTGCCGTTACAAATTGGTAGTGGTTTCTGATGTAACAGAGAGTATAAAACGTAGCACGTTACCTACCGTCCCCGTCCCGTGTCTAATCCTTGAGCAACGAGGTGTCCGCCTCGCTGCTCCAGCCTAGCGACCGATTCCGAAAAGGAAGAGCAGAGTCCGTGGATTCTAACCGGATCAGAGGATCGACTCGGAGTATGCAAATCCTTCCCTTGTAGCAGTAGTACTATATAATCTGACGATGCACGCCGCGGGATTTACAACCGCAAGAGAGGAAGCTAGTTTTCAGCAGCCACATAGCTAGATTGAGTACACGTTCTCCCGTGCCAAAAGCAAGAAGCATCGGCAATTGGGCATCTCGCGGCCGGAGAGGCAGCTAGCTACGAGGCAGGGCAAGGCGGATGGCAGCTGCTGACGCGATGGCCGGTGCGACTACAGACAACGGAGGCGCCGTGACGATGGTAAAGATGGCGGAGATGCCGGTGGAGTTCCTCCGGTGGGTGCTGTCGCAGGACAAGGAGGACTACCGCGTGCCTACGCTGGAGGACTACACGAAGGAGGAGCTCGCCGAGGCCAAGGACACCATCTGCAGCGTCATCCGCTCCCTGCAGATCGCGTACGACGAGTTCGACGAGTTCCGGGCCTGGGTCCGCGACGTGATCGACAACAATGGCTGCGTCATGATCCACGAGGACATGCTCTTCTCGGATCCCAAAGAATGGCAGGAAAGCGTCGACCAGGAGTGGGCAGAGGCGCGGCAGGAGCTGGAGATGGAGCTGACGAGACCACTCGGCCCGCACCTGTACATGTTGTCTGCGTATCTTTCACTCTTGTATCACTATGCAGCGCCCATCTTGACGTTTTGAGGGCCTTAGCTATATATGGGTGACAAAAGAATTAATATTAAGGCCAACAGCCAATGTCGTAGAAACTGTAGCATCTACCGACATGTTTTTCTTTTCATATTTTCGTTTAGTTTGTTTTTTTCACTTTCCATTTAGTTTTTTTTCATATTTTTGTTTAGAATTAATATTTAGTTTTCATTTTTTCACTAAATGTTTTCATATTTGCCAAAAAAAATATTAGTAAGTTAAGCTAGAGATGACGTGGTATCTAGTTGGTTTTGACATTTAGTGACTACTTTGTTGGTTTTGACCGATAAATCTTTGTCCAGCCTATCCGTGTCGGATCTATTCGCCGCGGGCAATAATAAAAAGGCAAAGTTTCAGATATTTTTTTCGTCCAGCCCATTCAATTCGGTCCAGCAGTCCAGTTCACTCTCTCGCGTCCGGCCCACTCACGTGACTCACATCGCTCCGATTAAAAAAAGGGAAAAACATCGACGCCGCATATCGTTTCAGCCGCTCCTCCCGTCCGCCACAGCGCCGCTGATCCACCCACCGCCGCTGCCCTGGAGCCGCTCTCATCCTGCGCGTCGCCACCGCCACGCGTGACTCCCGGCAGCTGGAGCTCACCGTCCGCCGCCCAGCCTCCCCACGCCGTCGAGGCGCCGGCGCAACCCCGGCCCGCACGCAGGGCCGTCTCGGCCTCCCGGCAGCCGTTTTCCAGCGCTCGACGTCCCCATCCCAGCCGTCTCCCCCGCCTCGGTGGCGCCACCGCCGCTTGCCGGACCGTGCACGCTGGTCTCCCGCACCGGCGCAAATACCGTCCAAGTGCAGGGTCGCGTCCAACTCCCGGCGGCACCATCGCCGCATTCTTCCGAGAAGCTTGCGCCGCCGCGGTAGCCGCGGGCGCTGGTCTTCTACGGTGGTGGAGGTGCTGCCACAGAGGAGCCAGCCAGCCACCAGCTCGGATTGGGACACCAGCTCAGATCGAGGAAATATCCATGGTAAGTTCGATAAGAACTCACATTCAACCCAAACTTCTCCATTTTTTTTCCATAATGTGTTCGATAAAGGTTTCTCTCTTTTGCCTTTTTTCCCTCTCACTAAATATATGTCCGTG